TAGCGTACTGAATTAAGTCAAGAATGGTGTGTGCAAAGTTTTGTGAAAATCCCATATATATTTTCGTCCAATTTTATGTAACTGGTGCACCAAAGTCCCTATATACCTTTCGATTTGCATGCATTTTGGTATAGGGTACTGAATTAAGTCTAAAATGTTGTTGCTAAGCTTCGTGAAAAGATCCATTGCTAGGCCGATTGACACAACGTACTGATGTAATATAATTTAGTCTCTGGAAAGTTTCCCTGAAATCGGTTCAGATATAGATATGTAACAAAAACGCGTCGTCTGTTCGGCTACATATGTAGAATATACCCAAAGTTGTGAAGGGTATCATATAGTCGGGCCAGTCCGTCTTTACTACTTTCCTTACTGGTTTCTATTTTGTATATGTACCTCGCTTAAAGAAAATATTCTTATAATCATGAGTGAGCCACAAAAAACTATTTTCCTACTTCGCTCTAATTTACCAAATGCATTCTTCCGAAGAATGAAACCAACACCACCCTTCGTTGTTCGGCTGTGTTTTGGTATTGTCCTCCGCCCTCCCTCACTTGATGGTTGTTAGTTTTGTTTGACAAATGTTTTTCTCTTGCTAACAATCACAGTCTCTTCACTCACTAGATTGTGTGTAGTTTTGCATTCCATTGTTACCTACATTCTCTGTTACCTACTACACTCTGCACGGATGTTATAAAATTCACATATGTGTGTTCCAAAATATTTTGAAATAAATGCCAAATACAATATATCTAACAAATGAAAAAGTGTGTTGTGGAACAAGACGAATGTTTAAATTATTGTATATGAATAATTGTTCTCATTGCATTCGTAAAATGCAGAAATCCGGACATATAATATACGTATTTTTTATGTGTACATTGTGGTCATAAAGAAATGATAATAGAAATAAAAAGTAAAATATTTACAGAGGCTTCTATGTTATATATAGATTCGGGACAGACTATTAAAACTATAAAAAAAAAACTATAGTGGTAGTTGGTTGGACCCCTTCGACTACACCCCTTTGCATTTTCTGCTTTAACATATTACTTCTTTATTTTTAGATGAAGGATTCCCTATATCCTTGGAGAGTACGAAACAATGGAGCCAATGCGGGTCTATCGTTTTTGCTCAGGTACAATAAGAGTTTTGTTAGACCACAAAGTTTTACGCCATTTCGATTTAAAGTGAGTTATTTCGATATAAATACTGTAACAACAGCTCAGATAATAACATCTATTGCCCACAGTTAATGATAAAAGAATCAGAAGAGTGGAGTCAACAGTTGCATCATATTGTCCATCCCAATACCCATATTGATGTTATGATATCACCCATATTGACGGAAACTGCATCGGAGGCGAGACTAATTGATCCAAAAAAGAGGAAGTGCTTATTTTGGGTAAGGAAGGCATCATATACATTTTGTACGAATATTGTTATAATCTTTTTTTTTTGCTTCAGGATGAAAAATCAACCAAATATGGTCGCATTACGGGACTGCCCTATAACAAATTGAATTGTTTGGCCCATTGTCAGCATAAATTTGTTATGAAACATTGTAACTGTTCCATATCGTTATTTTTTCCGCGAATGAGTATGTATATCTAACATAGGTTGCGATTCGGAATTAAAAATTATAATCGGGTTTTCAGGTGAATATAATAAAATGGAATGCAAAGTTTCGGATTTGGCTTGTCTGTATCGACACAGAGGTGGGTAGACATTCCTATGTACCTTTTTTCCTGCAATATTCAGAATATTAATCAATAAATTTTTTATCTATTTAGATATTTTCAATTACTTGAAAGGTCCCCTGCAGGATCAATATATCAACGATACACGACGTGGCATGGAATGCGATTGCATCGATAACTGTTTGTCATTGGTTTATTTGGTTGCAGTCAATACCCAGCCTATACATGAGTAGATATTTCAAAAACATATTTTCGAAAAAATTATAATAAATATTTTTTTTATATTTTTGCAGCATTCAAGCAAGTTCTACCGTACCGGAAATTTATGTTCATGCCTACTATAATCGCAATACTTTAACGAAGTACTCAGCCCATCCGGAATACACATTTCTTGATATGGTGGGATATTTTGGTGGTGTCCTCGGGCTATTTTTGGGAGCATCAATTTTGAGTATTGCCGAAGTTCCTTATGCTCTGATAAAAATATGTGTTTGTTATATATTCCAAAAATGGAAGAAATCCAGACGCCTGCAACAAGTTCATATTAGTACAAATGTTGTTGTTATCAAGGAGTAGTGTATCCTGTAAATATTTGAATTTAAATAACTGTTAAATAAATGATTATGTCCTTTGCAAAAAGATTGGATTTTTTCAAGGAATTCTTAAACCTAGATTGGATTTTTATACCCATCACCACACTGTTGTACAGGGTATTATGTCTTTGTGTATATGTTTGTAACAGGCAATAGGAAACGAGATAGACCCATAGTTCCTTTTGGAAATATGCATAGAATCACTTTATGCATGTCCGTCTGTCTGTCCGCCCGTAGGGCTATCATGTATAAGCTTAAGCGTAGCTTGCAGTTGGATGAGGATGATTGGCTCAGGCCTTCTGATTTGGTGGATGGGTGAGTAGGCGATACAGCACTATCCTTCCGGACTGTGTTGTTGATAGGTGGAGGACAGGGTGGCCGAACAGTGACAAAGGGAGGGTGATGTACGAATTTATTCGTGACGCAACGTTCATAGTGGACCGGCCAGACATTCGCTTACTGACGGGGCATGGCTCTCTCAATGCGTTTTTGCATAAAAGAGGCCTGTCCCAGACGGATTTATATGGGTGTGGGATGACTGAGGACTGGAGGCATATACTGAAGGAATGCCGTTACTATAATGACATTAGAGATTTAGCAAGTATGGGTATATCGAAAGGGGTGGCGGGTTTGCGATTTCAGTAGGGCTCTTGAAGACGATCGGACCTTTAGTTGTTTAAGTAGTTTTGCTCGTGAAGCATTTAGGAGAAGGACAGTACTTAGTGGAGGTGGTCCTCGTGCGTAGCCCCCTTGCAGGTTGACTCAGTCGGTTGCACCGGGTGGTGGTGGTGGGTAGGTGCACCGGGTGGCGGTGCGTGCTGGTCTTGTTGCGGTTTCGGCGGTTGTTGGCAACAAAATGTTGTAGGTGGTGTACGTGCTGCCTGCGGTTGTCTGTGCATCGTGGATGATTCGTGGTTTCCACTTCATTTGCTTCACTCGTCCTGTGGATGTAGTGTAGGCTGTCCGTGAGGGCAGTATTGTTCATTGTTTGTGCTGTGATGTCCGATGCCGGGGTCCTTTGGATCCTGTGCAGTCCGTGAGGACAGCATGTTAATTGTTTGTGTTTTTGTTTGCGTTGTCACTGCCTGTGGCTAGGTTTTTCCTTGCCACTTGCGTTTATGATCCTGACGCTTATTTTGTTTTGTCGAACTGTAAGAGGCTTTGGTCTCGAGACTGAGCGGAGGTTTTCCGTACCGCGAGTGTCAGGTGCACCTGGATCTGTTGATCCAGCCCGACAGTGTGGTGGGGAGCTTGAGGTGTGGCGCCCCTCACCAAGGGGGAGAGTATGCCTTCTGCATGCTCTCCGCCTGTGGCTCAGCCACTGTGAGGTAGGCCAAGAGGCAGGTACTCGCAAAAAACACTTCAAGATACTGTCCGTCTGTCCATGTTAAATTGTAAAGAATGTACAGGTTGCAGTTATTATCCGAATTGGATGCAATTTGGCACAGCTCATCTATTGATTGGGAAAAATCGGTTCAAATTTAGATATAGCTCCCATATATATTTTCGTCCGATTTCATGTAAATGGTGCACCAAAGTACCTATATATCTATCGATTTGCACCAAATGTGACATATCGTACTTAATAAAGTCTAGAGAGATGTGTGTTAAGTTTCGTGAAAATCGGTTCAGATTTAGATATGGCTCCCATATATATTTTCGTCCGATTTCAGGTAAGTAGTGCGCCAAAGTCCCTATATATCCTTCGACTTCCATTAAATGTGGCATAGCGTACTGAATTAGGTCTAGAACGATGTGTGGTGATCGGTTCGGATTTAGATATAGCTCCCATATATATATTTTCGGCCGATTTTAGGTAAATAGTGCACCAAAGTCCCTATATATCCCTCGATTTGCACGAAATTTGGCATAGCGTACTGAATTGAGTCTGAAATGATGAGTGGTAAGTTTCGGGAAAATCGGTTCAGATTTAGATATAGGTCCCATTTATATTTTCCTCCGATTTAATCTAAATGTTACACCAAAGTCCCGATATATCCCTCGATTTGCACGAAATTTGGCATAGCGTACTGAATTGAGTCTAAAATTATGAATGATAAGTTTCGGGAAAATCGGTTCAAATATAGATATAGCTCCCATATATTTTTTCGTCCGATTTTATGTAAATGGTTCGCCAAAGTCCCTATATTTAATTCGTTTTGCACGAAATATGGCAACATATTTCGATATATGTATTCGTCCGATTTTACATAAATGGTGCACCAAACGCCTAATGTTTGTTCGATTAACACGAAATTTTGCACAATGTATCGAATTGAGACTTGAATGACGTTATTGCGTTTCGTTGAAATTGGTGCAGCCATAGCTTCCATATGTATTTCGAATGGGTGTCTGACTCAAAATCTGCCAGAATGAAATTAAATTTATCATAGGTTGCAGAAAGACATGAGCATGTTCCTTCGAGGGAACATTGACATACAATTGTAAGGATACATATGTACAACATACCCAAAGTGGTGAAGGGTATCATATAGTCGGCCCAGTCCGACATTACAGCTTTCTTTACTGGTTTAGATTAATTTATGACGACCTCTCAGTTTTTAAAAAACATTTTCAAGGACCTTACAAACGTCGTGGATTTCTTAAAAACATTTTTTAAGGATCTCTTATTAGGTGTGGATGTTTTAAAAATAAAAATTTAAAGCCAGAATGTATTTTTGTTTCAGTAAATCTATTTTTATTAAAAACTAATATCTCAGCACTAAGCCTGACTGGCAACACTACGTTGAACCAATGGCAAATTGTTCTTAATAAGACAGGTGGCACCACGATATACCCATTCACAAGCATTGCTACCCTGTTCATTTTTATCAATACAAGAGGAGATTTTCGTATGTAGCTCATCATCATGATTAGCTTCAGCAGAGGTTCCAACCAATTGTTGATGGATATTTTCAACATTGAATCCACTGGTCGTATCGAAGAAACCGAACTTCACGAATATACATTTCAAATAACATTGGGTAGTTGCATCATTTGGATAATCGAACTTTTTATACTGCTCCAAAAGGTTCTCGGGAACCTGTAATTCGGCAATGCATTCGTTGCGAAATTGCAAGTGCTGGTCACGAGTCTTCACCACATAGGCTGAGGTGCACTGGAAAAAAATTGATATTATTTGGAGAGGTTATTTTATAAAAAAAATAATTTTTATTCTTACCACGGCAAATAACAAAATAACGGCTACGTAGATTTTCATGATGCTGATGTTACTCTTTCAAGGATTGCTAACAACTGCTGACCTCTCTTGATTCCGAAGGAGTTTTTATACCCAAAAATTGTGGGAATTTCTGTGTACCTGTTCTATACATTCGTTCTACCTGTTAGTTCATACCCTTATCAGATGAACCCTTATGTGACTTTGGGTTCATTGTTTTAATATACAATTGTCCGTTTTGAAAAGGGGATTAAAGTACAATCAGATTTTGGATTGTTTAAACTAAATCCCTCCCAAAAGATATTATCTGTGAAAATTACTCTACGGATTCTCAGTAATCTTTTGTTGTTCGATTCACATTGAAAATACATTAAGAATGGAGTTTTTTCAAATACCTCTAATTACAATTTCAAAAACATTTCCATTGAACCTTTTTGTTAGCTGTTGAAAAATCCATATCAAATGACACAAGTTGCCTAGTTCCTATGGTAGGTACTTGCTCATTCAGACATTTTTCTTAGTAATGGAATACTGTTCTGAAAAGGCCACAAAGGCGTGGATTTTTAAAGAATTTTTACAGCCTCCATATAGACCACAAAGGCGTGGATTTTTAAAGAATTTTTACAGCCTCCATATAGACCACAAAGGCGTGGATTTTTAAAGAATTTTTACAGCCTCCACAAAGACCACAAAGGCGTGGATTTTTAAAGAATTTTTACAGCCTCCACAAAGACCACAAAGGCGTGGATTTTTAAAGAATTTTTACAGCCTCCACAAAGACCACAAAGGCGTGGATTTTTAAAGAATTTTTACAGCCTCCACAAAGACCACAAAGGCGTGGATTTTTAAAGAATTTTTACAGCCTCCACAAAGACCACAAAGGCGTGGATTTTTAAAGAATTTTTACAGCCTCCACAAAGACCACAAAGGCGTGGATTTTTAAAGAATTTTTACAGCCTCCACAAAGACCACAAAGGCGTGGATTTTTAAAGAATTTTTACAGCCTCCATATAGACCACAAAGGCGTGGATTTTTAAAGAATTTTTACAGCCTCCATATAGACCACAAAGGCGTGGATTTTTAAAGAATTTTTACAGCCTCCATATAGACCACAAAGGCGTGGATTTTTAAAGAATTTTTACAGCCTCCATATAGACCACAAAGGCGTGGATTTTTAAAGAATTTTTACAGCCTCCATATAGACCACAAAGGCGTGGATTTTTAAAGAATTTTTACAGCCTCCATATATACCCTCCATATATACCACAAAGGCGTGGAT